ATTCATGTCAAAATTGAAGAGTACTTAAAATTAGTAGTAGAAACAATAGACACCATGGACTTCTCAAATGATTCAGCGTATATAATTCTGATGGAAAAATTTAAAATGGAGCAAACTTTCTGCTTGATAAATGCCAAACAGGAGGTCAGATCAACTGCAGACTGAAGCACAGCTTCCAATGGAAATTTGAGACAAGTGGAATCAAGACGCTGAAGCATTTGTTCAAAAAACTACAAGAGGAGGTAAAACACAGCTTTAACAGTACAATCCAGAAGACGAGGCACGGTCAAGGCAGAGGCTACCCGGAGGTGGAAGTGGTCTGAAGGAAATGTAGAGTGGTCAACACCAAAGGTCATGGCAACAGCTTTGGCAGATGCCCAAGATATTTTGCTTGTAGCTTTCTGGAAGGACGAAGAATGATAACATTTGCTCTTTTAAAGAGAGTTTTGAGAAAGTTAGCTAAAGTGTCAGCAGAAAAATGCTCAGGAAACTTTACCAGAGAGATCTTGTCCATCACAATGTTCCTGCTCAATCTCTAATTAAACAGGAACAACTTTTTAAAAAATGTCAATGGGAAGTAATCAGGCATCCACACCACAGTCCTCTCTTGCCTCCATCTGCTTCTTTATATTTGATAATCTTAAACATCTTTAATTGGCATCTACTTACCGCCAGTTAACAATGTAAAAAAGATTACACGGACATGATTAAATTCCCTGGATACTACATTCTTAAGAGATGGAGTAATGGATGGCATTGTGGTTTTTAAAAGTATCTTCTGGAAAGACAAATATCATGTATTCTCTTACTTGTGAAAGTCAATATACAGAGTATAGACATTGCAGGGATGTCGTTTGGTATTTAGTTAAAAGTCTTGTTCACTGAGTCATATCAGTGACAATATGCTCCTTTTTTCCACGTTTGTAAAAAGAAGAAATGGATGGCGTGGGGAATAGAGAGGACTCCTGGGGTACTAGTCATGTTTGTGTTTGCTATGAGTGTGCTGAGAAGTCAAAAACTCTGTTCATCTGTATACTTACATGCATTTCTTTTTTTTTTTTAATTTATTTATTTGACAGATGGAGTTAGTGAGAGAGAGAGAGACAGAGAGAAAGGTCTTCCTTCTGTTGGTTCACTCCCCAAATGGCCGCCACGGCCAGAACTTAGCCGATCCAAAGCCAGGAGCCAGGTGCTTCCTCCCAGTCTCCCATGTGGGTGCAGGGGCCCAAGCACTTGGGCCATCCTCCACTGCCCTCCTGGACCACAGCAGAGAGCTGGATTGGAAGAGCAGCAACCAGGACTAGAACCTGGCGCCCATATGGGATGCTGGCGCCGCAGGCAGAGGATTAACCAATTGAGCCATGGCGCCTGCCCACGTGTATTTCTTAGTATGTATACTGTATTCCAATAAAATGTTTAAATTATAAAAAAGGAGTCTTGTACTTGAAGCAGGCAAAACTAGCGCAGACATTTGGTACAGCCATGGCCTCTTGCCTGCATCCAACACAAGAGTTCCTAGGTATGAGTCCCAGCTGTGTGTCCAATTTTAGCTTTCTGATCATGCGCACTCTGGGAGGCAGCAGGTGAGGGTTCAGGAAGTTGGGCCCCTGACACTAACGTGGAAGACCCAGATTAAATTCTAGCTCCTGGCTTTGGCCTGGCGCAGGTCCAGTTTTATAGGCATTTTGAGAGTAAACTAGTGGATCCCTCTCCCCTCCCCACACCCCACCCCGCCCTGTCCCTCTGAAAGAAAGAAGGTGGCAAAACTATTTCAGGAAGCAAAAACATTTGTAAATGAACAGAAATAAGAACCCTGTGAAGTGTTCTGAAAACTCACTCTGTTACAGAGAATGAATAAGGGGATACAACTTGAGGTGGGGCCAGGACCTAGCCAAATGTTGAAGAATTTGGCACTCTTGAAGGCTACATGGGTAAACCAAAGGATTTTAAGCTGGACTATATGGTGGTTTTGGCAGTGTTCTGGAAGACAGAGCAGTAGTGTTAGTGGATAGAGGCAGGAGGGATTACTGGGGAAGTTACTGGAGCTGGGCAGGAGTGAGGTCTGGGCAGTTGGGTTTTGGTCATGGTGTTGGAAAATGGGAAGTAAGGAATCAGGAAGAAGTGGCTCCCGTCTGAACTTGAGTCTTAGACCCCAGAAAAATGGAAATGTAGGCACACAGCCGAGAAGGAAGTCAATCTTCAGGGGCTTTCTGTTGACTTACATGTCAAGCTCTGGCTGCCATTATGACTGCTTCATTAGAAGTATACACAGATTACTTATAAATGAGGAACTTGTGTGGTTTAAAAGCAATCTCACACTGTTCAATTATGAAGGCAAAGAGATAATCCAGAGACAGTGTGCTGTAGTCCCCAAAGCATGAGATCTACCAATGAGTCAGTTCAAGGTCTCACCATTTCTAAGTAATTATAAGGACAGTGGAAAAGTCTCTTTCCCTAAACATGTTAAGTGATAATACCTCTTTCATGCATTTCCTCTGGGTAGCCAGAAATGGAATGGAAGGTTTTTAAAAAGCAATAAAACACTCTGCATATATTAGTTATTCAAAATGAAACAAGAACTCATCCACATTCAGAATTTGAGTAGGAAGCTATCATTTGAGAAACTTACTGCCAGGTCACTCCTACAGGAGGTCTTCTTACTAGGTGGAAAGATTAGGGTGATATCATGCAGTGAGTTTAAAAGATGGCTCAGGAGAAATATTTTGCATTTGGCAAAGCTGTGATTCTGTCACAGAATTGTCTACCCAGAGCTATGCTATGCTGGTGTAATTTCACAATGATCCCACCAGAAAGTCCTGAGGAGAGGAGAGGGTCATGTTTTGTTATTTATGAATTATCCTTTTCAACACGTAAAACCTGAGCCACAGAGGGGCACTAAAGTGCAGTGCTAGACTCCTGCGTCCAGGGCAGGAAGAGCCATAGGACAAGGAAAGGAGTTACGGACTGCAGGGGTCATCAGCATGTCACAGGACTGCGTGGCCCCGTGGCCCCCAGCTCCACTTCTGCTCAGTACCTGAAGGTACGTTTCCAGAGCAGTCCAGGAGCTCCATTTCCTCAGGGGTGCTCCTCTGTCCATGTGCATTTTGATCCTCTCCTTCCGACTTTCAGGCTTCAGATTAGGGTGAGCCCTTGCTCTGGGGATGTTTAGAACCACCTCGTGCAAGAAGACACTCCAGAGATTGCAATCGGCCTCTGTGCTGTGGGGAGGGAATTGCCATTGGTGCCGTTGCTGGTTGTGGCCCAAGACATGGAAGACATCCCAGTTACCAGAGGACCTGATTGTCTTCTCATCAATGAGCTGAGGCACTACATTCAGTTGGCCCATGATGGGGTATCCAGGGTGCAACAAGCCTGAAGAAAGCAACAGGGTAGAAGACGTGAGGTGTTTTCTGGTATTTTTTGTAGACACATCTCCTCCACTATCCCAAAAGACTGGAGCATTTTGAGAAATGAGACTATTAAGAAGAGTATCTGACGTTACCTGAAGCCCAAGCTTATATGCAACATAACTGGTCTGTGTTCATTCACAGAGACTGGTGCTCTCACCTTGACTTGACCCTGATTGGTCTGTGTACATGCAATGTGATTGTGAGTGTCATTGTTCACTTTTCATTTTAACTGGATGATAAGTGTCTGTGCCTTAATGTCTTGCTTCTCAAAGGGAAAACAGTAAGATTCTCCCCTATGGAATGTAGTCTTAATCCGTTTTATGAGTATATAATCAGGCTCTCATTTTTTTTTTTGACAGGCAGAGTAGACAGTGAGAGAGAGAGAGACAGAGAGAAAGGTCTTCCTTTTGCCGTTGGTTCACCCTCCAATGGCCGCTGCGGCCGACACGCTGTGGTCAGCACACCACGCTGATCCCATGGCAGGAGCCAGGTATTTATCCTGGTCTCCCATGGGGTGCAGGGCCCAAGCACCTGGGCCATCCTCCACTGCACTCCCTGGCCACAGCAGAGAGCTGGCCTGGAAGAGGGGCAACCGGGACAGAATCCGGCGCCCCGTCCGGGACTAGAACCCGGTGTGCCGGCGCTGCAAGGTGGAGGATTAGCCTAGTGAGCTGCGGCGCCGGCTTCTCATTGTTTTCTAAACACTACATTTCCTCCTTAACCTCTCTTGACTCTGCTATAAGTTACTGAGCACCCCCGTCCCCCACCACCTCCCTCCCCTCACTTCTCATGGCCAACTCTGATTCCATCAATTCTTACTCTCCCTGAAGCCACTTGTGAAGATTGCACACTTTGTTCCATTCCTTCTATCCTATCACTTTTCTCATCTGGAGGGATAAAGTGATAATTTACCTGTTTCCATTAGAACATGGTTGACAGGATCCTAAGAGTCTTTGTGCAAAGTTTTCCCAACTGATCCCAGAGGAATTCAGCCACGTTTGTACAGTTGGAAGAAAACTTTTCAGCATGTTCCCCTGGAGCACCCACCTGAATAGATCTGCACGTCAGCAACAATCCTCTCTGGCCTGCGGTAGGGGAAAGGCTCTGCCCCCAACTTGGCTACAGCCTTCATTATCTCATCCCACAGCCGCAGCAGAGACTCTGGGTTCTTCACAGACTTGAGGTTTTCAGTCGGCACTGTCAGGATGATGTTGTCTGTGGCCAGCTCGCCCCAGGGTGCCGGATTTCCTTGCAAAGAGCGCTTCCACTCCTCCTGGGACGTCTTCCCTGGAAATAAAGTTTCCATAGCCTGCTCCACTCCACTTTCCTAGGCTTCATGATAGCCCTCTGCCTTGCTGAGGGACAGCCTGGTAACTCATTAACTTTCTTGTTGCATCCTCCTCTCAAGTCCTTGACTTGCCCTTTCTGCCCGGGAAGTCTCCCAGAGTAGTGTGTCCACATTGCCCAGCCCGCTTGCAGCCCTCCAGCCTCACCCACTTCTTCCTCTCAGTCCCCGCCCTGCTTCCCAACCAGCCCACTCTCCATCCCACACCTGCCTCTGCCCCGAGTCCCCACCTGAACTGGAACCCCCTACTCACCCAGCTTGAAGTATGGAGCCCGCACTGCCCCACTGATGGTGACCTGCACAGTGCCCAGGTTGTAGTTTGGGGGCACAAGGATGTAGAGGAGGCCTCCCCAGAGCCAGGAGATGTTGTTGTTTGTTTTGTTTAAGTTGTACTCGTGTGTCACGATTGGGGGGCGTTTGTAAGTGCTTGCTCCACTTATGTCATCTGTGTGGCAGTCAACCTGAACCTGCAAGTGAGAACCCACCAAGGGTGGAGGAAAGGGGTCATCATAAGGAATACTGCAGACATGCACGTGTGTGTGTGTGTGTGTGTGTGTGTGAGAGAGAGAGAGAGAGAGAGAGAGAGAGGGATTTCATGTGCACATGTGTTATTCTGCTTTGTCCAGGTCATGGGAGGGCAGAATAGGAACTCCTCAGGGTGAGTAGTCTTCCTTTGATAAATAGTGGAGAATGTGCTCACCCACTTTTTCCAGGGCATTCCTTCCTGGTCATCACTATTCTTTGTTCTCTATAGAGTTCGGGGATTTTTCTCTTTGATTTAAACTGAGCAATTCCCAAGATAAATGCTGACCTAGAGCAGATATTGACTGTGCCCCTGGTATTTCTTGTATGTCTGCAAACACATCCTGAGCCTGCAGAACTGATTGCTTTATCTGAATCATGTCTCAGATGCCTCCAAAGAGATTACAGTCAGTCAAGCTTCCATAGCAGTCAAACAAGCAGGAAGAGGTAAAGCAAACTCAAATTTCTCGGACATTTGTTATGTGTGAAGCTCTGCTTGGGATATTACAGATTCTTCCCATAACAAGCTTCTGCTTTCCTGGCATTCCTGTAGAATGAAAGTGGTATCCGCTCTGTATATTTGGTGTTTTTGTTGAAACAACTGAAAAGAAATTGCTGCAAGTAGAAGTCAGCATGCTGAGCAAATGGCACAGATTAGTGTCCTGGGGAGCAGAATGCTTTACCTTCAGCTGAGCAGCAACAGCTCTGTCAGGCAGTGTGACCTTTGCCATTCGTCCTGCAGGTAAGTAGAGTCCAGTGCTCACCCAGGAATCTCTGTTGTCTGGGAAGAACCATTGGAGAGGCTGAGCTCTGCCCATCTTCTTGTCTCTACCCTCACTAAGAATCCCACAGAGCCTCCCAGAGCTGTTGGATGAATTGTGCCCACCTTAACTCACCTGGGCTGCCCTGACTAAAGTGTCTCAGAGTCACCAGGAATCCTACAGTCTACTCCTTCATGGGAATGACAGAGAACGTGCTCTGGAGGGAAAGGCCTCTGGAATGCTCCTGCACTAGCCAACTGCCCTCTCCCCACTCCCTACCCTGCCCTAGCTGCCCTCCTCCATGGCATACCTGGACTGATATCAATCTTCACAGACGGTTCCTTGGTGCTGAGACAGATGGTATCAATAATCAAGAGTGGGTCAAAGATTCCCCACTTGACCAGTCCGTGGGCCCAGGCTAGCAGTAGATGCTGAGGGCTGCCCCTGCTGATGGGATTTTCTTTATTCACAACTGGTAACCCCTCTTTTTTGATCATTTTCAGGATGTGTTTGTACACAGCATCATAGATGGAAATCCCATTAGGTGAGATTTGAAGCATATAGGAAATATCTTGTCTTAGCATCACCATCGAACTTTTTTCCAAGACGTTTCCCTTGCTGAACACCATGGACTCATATTGAATTAGTGCTTTTCTGACATGGTATTTCATTATCTCTGGCTTGGGAACTGGGAAGCAGCCTCTATGCCCTTCCTCATTAACGATGCAAAGACCAGCATGTTTAAGGAACTTGTTATTTGGATAGTCAGACATAAGGTTGGAATTTGGGTGTTGCATAGCCCACTGTCTGGCCTGGCTGCCCATCAATACCCCTTTGCCTTCTGCAACAAATTCCTCTATCTTCTTGAGATCCGTGTTGTTGAGTAAGGAACAGCAGTAGACACTCAAGTCGCTGCTCAGAAGGTCTGTGCTGCTCCACTCCAAGTTGTTTTTTGTTAATAAGGGGCCCAGACGATTCAGTTGTGGACTCACCCCAATCTTCCCTTTCTGCTGCCCTTTCAGCCAACGTATAGCATTGATTACAAAGTTGCTCATCCTGTCCTCAAATAGCATACTCTCATGGCCACACAGCACCACACGACCATTGCCATAGCGGGCAGCTGCTAGGAAGCAATTGAACGAGCTGTCTAACCCCAGGGGAAAGGCCAGGGGCCCGTGCACAAACAGTTTTGAGGGTTTTGCTCCTCTACTGATATCCAGCTCGGTGATCCCCTGTAGGAGCTGCTCTTGGTCGTTTCTGACGTTGTTCTGATACCTGGAAAAGAGACATTTCCCAAATTAGTGCTGATCTGGGAGGTTAGCAGAAAATAGGGCAGAAAACACCTACTACCTGAGCTATTTCATATAAACCATTAAGAGAAAGGAGCAGGACCAATATTTTAATCTTCTTCTGTACATCTTCAAATCAGTTCCAGCTAGGAAAATTAATATCATAAAATTGTGTGAGATTTTAATTTATAGACACAATATATCTTGAGATATGCATACACATTTTTCTAGTAACATTTTCTAGGATTATTTATTTTCTTAGTCAACATTCCATTCACTGTTCTGATTTATGAGTTGTTTATTTAACAGCTAAAATTATGAAATAAAGCTTGGAAAATAGTCTGATTCCTTTAGGGAGTAGTTTTGCCTAGAAATTTGGAAGGCTTATATGCCACACACATGCACACATTCAGACACAGAAATAAAAAAGGCTGTGAAATTATATATTACCCTTGTTAGAGCTCTAGAATATCCTTTGTTTTACTTACTTTATGTAGCTATTCTGTAAAACTCCTGGAATAGTTATAAGGAGAAAGATGTTTAGTACATTCCTTATTATTAATAGCTTTGAGTAGGAAAGTATCACCATTGTGAATTAAAATACTTTAATATTGCATTAAATTGTACAGCTGTCTATAACTTGGGAGCTGAGTACATCTTGTTATAGGATAGTTATGTTAAATTGTAGTAATTTAAAGGGAATAAAAAAGTAATTCTTAAAAAAAAAAGCCCCACAGTACACAGAAATATCCTAGAATCCCTTTCCTGTAACCCTTGATTATTTGGGAATGAGAGAGGATTCCTAAATTTCAATTCAATCTTGTGGTTTAGAGCTCAGATACCAGAATTTTAGGATGCAGAGCCATAAACATTTAGGAATTCAATTCTTTTATTCCTGTAGATATTTAGAAAGTATTTGACAAAATTTATTCCTCATTTAAAAATTTTAAAAATACAAACAAAAATCATAGGTGGCAGGAAACTTGCTTACCGGAATAAGAGTTTCTAGGAGAATTTGATATTGGAAGCATTCCTACTAAATCAGGAGAAAATGCAAGACTGCCCTCTTTTATTGCTATCAGTCATTATTTTTAATGGATATCCTAGCTAATAAAGAAATAAGCACTTCAATTGTGTAATAAAAAGTCCATATTTTACCATTAAGATTATGCCTACTAAAAATTTGAGATTCTATTGACAAAATATAAACAAAGAAACAAAGAGTTCAGTGGGATGTTTGAATTCAAGATAAACACAAAATTCAATAATTATCCTATTAAGAGTTGATAATTATAAAACAGGTAGTTTTATAATTGATAATGACACAAATATAAAAGTTGTAAGAACTATGAAAATCTTCTGGTGAAATACATAAAAGTTGACAAGAATATGAAAGAATACTTGAATAAACACATATATTATTCTTTGATGGATAGATTCAGTGTTTTAAAATGTTCCTTCTCAAATAATTTCTAAATTGAAAATAATCCTGACCCAAACCCCAGTATTTTAAAAAATCTTGATAAATTGACTCAATACTTTAATCTATAAATGTAGGTGGCCCTTCATACACAAGGATGTTTTGAAACTGTGAGTGATGTTACATGGAATTATGGAGATGGTTTTTTTTTCTCCAGATATCAACATTCATTTCAAAGTTGTAATAACAAAAGCAGTATAGTTTTTGTAAAATTAGAAAACTAAGTCAGTGGTCCAGGGGAGAGAGTTGTTGTAAACAATTCACAGACTTATGGAAATTCATTATGTGAAAAAGGAGTCTTTAAAATGAGTGAGCAAAGTATTGATCCTTCAATAAATGGAGGTGTTATAATTGGCCATATATTTATAAAAATACATATGATAGGACATGCTCAAGCTGACTTACCTCAAACGGTAGAGTTAGAAACATACCAGGGGATTTCCATTTCAATCTCCTTCAAGGTGGTATGTACTAATGCCATCTTTCTTCTCCCGTGATCAATTTCTTGTCA